TACAGTCAAACCAAAATCAACAACATTTCTCACATATTATATCAAGTTTATTCGCTATAGTTTAGAAAATGGTAATAAAATAAGAGAAGAGCTCAGAGTTAAACTGTGTCAGAACAAATTCATCTTGATAATGTCAGATAACTTTGTATATATATATATATATATATATATATATATATATATAATTTCTAAAATATAAAGTAAAATGAAAATGAAACCAGAAAATATAAAACAAATATTACATATCAACAAAAATTATAATAGTAGTAATATATTAATTATATTAAAATAACAACTAAAATAAAAATGTTTTGAAACCACAACCTACTTTGCTCCCATAATGTGAACAAAAACCTTGCAAGAACATGCCTGGGGGAAAAAACTAAGAAATTATATCATGAATAAAGAACATATATTTAGGACCATTAAGTGTTTTTTGCATCGTAACATTAATTTCATGCCGATTAAGAACATTTCTGTCCTTAATTCTCTGATATGCACATAAATGCACACTCTATACATCTCTACTTTTCCTAGCGTGGGGTGTGTTGTAATATCTGACTGTGTTTGAGTTGTATTTTTAGGCACAGACGGCTTTACTCGCTCGCTTTCTCGCCGTTGGCAAGTTCTGCTACGAGACGAGAAACTTCGCCACAGCCATGCAGATTCTGTCGGGGCTGGAGAACGTGATCGTGAGGCAATTACCGGTAAGACACGAAACGGTGCTTAACCGCTTTCTCTGAACTCTCTCGAGGTGATAAATGATCGTGCGCTGAGAGAGTCATAACCTCATAAGCTCCACTGGATTTGTTATTGTTGCTGTATCTTATCTGGAGGCTCCAGCAGCTGAAATGTTAATTGCATGTCCGTTAAACTGATTAAACACCAACTCTGTTTAAAAGCATCACAGGGTTAGAATCGACATTCAGCATGTTGTGCAGAAACAAAGCAATGTGCGTTATATTTAGCATGAAATTAAATTGCATGATGAATGTTTCTCATAAGCCATGCTTATTGGGGTTTTCATTAGATTGACAGTATGTCTCTTGTCTTGTGGGGTTTGTGTGTGGATGTGTTGAACGCAGGCGTGGAAGCAGCTCTCGCTGAAGGTGTGCGAGGCTCTGGAGGAGCTCAGGGCTGTTCAGGTCAGACAGAGAGACAAATATAACAAAACACGCAGTCATGAGAGGCTACGAGGTTCATTTCATGTTTTAGGATTTTCTTGCCACATGATGAGAAAATGACTCCTACCTGACTTTGATTTGGAAGACAAAACAATGTATTTATTATTTTAATAATTAATTCTTAATTATGTTATTATATTGATAATTATAAAAAAAATATTATTTAAAATATATATTATATGTAACGTTAACGTTACTTTACGTACGTAATGCTTTATTTTAATTTGTTTGAATTTTTTAAGCTAATTCCTAATTGTTTCTTATGTTTTATATTAATAATAATAAAATATAATTTATCTGTAATATGTTATATATTATCTGTAATATGAAAAACAACACTGCCTATCGGCTGTTTTAATTATTTTAATAATGTTTTAAACTAATTCTTAATAGTTATTCTATTAATAATAATAGTATCAAAATAGTATATTATGTTATTATAGTATAGTAGTATTATTGCATGATATAATATCTATAACATTCATATTAATAACAAAGATACTTCACAGCTGTTTTAATTATTTTAATAATTTGTTTTAAGTTTTTTAAAACTAAGTTACTTTTACTAAGTAAAACTTAAGTGTTTCTAATGTAATTATATTAATAATAATAATAATAATAATAAATATTATAGTATATTATTATATTAATATCATTGCATTATATGATATTTATAACATTTATAATGTTAATAATTTCAAATAATTTCTTAATTGTTACTTTTATTATTATTATTATTAATAAGAAGAAGAAATGCTGTTAATATTAAAATCGCTTCACAGCTATTTATTTTATTTTTAACATTTAAATTCTTAATTGCTTTGAACATATAATAATGATAATAATAGTGTTATTATGATTATTATTATATATCTATACCATTAATAATAATAATAAAATCAAAACTGCTTCACAGTTATTTGTTTTAATTACTTTAATTATTTTGTTTTAATTATTTCAAACTAACTCTTAATTGTTACTTTTATCATCATCATCATCATCATATATTAATAACAAAACTGCCTCACAGCTGTTTTTTATTTCTTACTTAATCTCCAGACATTAACATCACCCAAACATTTTTGACTGTGTCCTAAAATATTAAATAACTTTTAAATTTTAAAAATTTAAAACAGAAATTAAAAAACATGCTTTTCACACAAACAGTGACTTTATACACCTCTATAGTGATTTGTATTTTTAATGTTCTTTGAACAATTAAATACGTTCATGTATTTGTCAGATGCTTTTATCCAAAGCAACTTGCATTGCATTAAAGGTTTACACGTTATCAGTTCATGCATGCTCTAAGAATCGAACCCATGACACTAGTGTTGCGAGCACATGCTCTACTGTTTGAGCATCAGGAATTGGTCTCATGGAAGAGAGAAGAGTGAGGTTTTAAGGTCTGTTGATGGTCTTGTTTCAGGTGTTTCTGAAGAGTGATAGTCTGTGTCTGATGGAGGGAGAGAAGGGCAGACGGCTGCCGACTCTCCCAGACGTTCACATCTTGGCCATACACATCCAGCAGCTGGAGATCGGAGCGTTTACCATGACCAGCGGAGCGTACAAGTGGCCCAAACTGAGGTCTCATGAACGCACTTACATTTACATTCATGCATTAACCGACGCTTCTATCCAAACTGAGGGACAGGAACTCGATGCAACATCTTTAAAGGGGTCATATGATGCGATTTCAAGTTTTCCTTTCTCTTTGGAGTGTTACAAGCTGATTGTGCATAGATAAGATCCCTGAAGTTGCAAAGACTAAAGTCTCAAAACCAAAGAGATATTCTTTATCAAAGTTAAGACTCTGCCACGCCCCCCTAAAACGGCTCGTTCTAACACGCCCCCACATATCTACCTCACTATGTGGAAATATTAGCATAATGCCGCCCAAATGTGCACGCAA